CCAAATTTTCTCCGGTTTTCATGGCTTTTCACACACATACATCCTTCACCAAATGTGCTAACAAAATAAACTGTCTGTGCTCTTGAACATGGATAAAAAGAAAAAGATTTAAAAGTCAGATTTTTATTTTTTTAATTTAGTGACTAGATGATGCTTATCTTTCAGACTTGGGAGAGCCTTGCTACAGATGTATATAATTTTTTTCAGCAAATATATGTGAATGTTTAATTCACCTGACTCAGTGATAAACGTGACTTGCCTTTTTCTCAGCATGAATTATTGAGAAGCTGTTGAAAACAGTGGCCTGGTCGCTGCTCTAGGCTTGCTCCTGATGCCCTGTGTGTTACTCTGAGTCGGGCTGCTCCTGTGAGGAGCTGAATCCAAGCTCTCACAGCGTCCTGGGGTGAACATGAGTGGGGTGACATGAGTGGGGGAACTCATGTCCCACGTGGGTTGTAAGATGCCAGGAGCAGCCCAAGCTCCAGGGCCAGTTAAAGCACAGAGGATGCACAAGGACTCTCTGCTGATGAGCTTTTTCCACAAGAGTGGAAACCCAGAGACCTCCACAGTCATCACACACACGCCCGCCCTCCAGGCAGTTACACCCCTTGGCACTCACACAGCCCCTCGCAGCAGGTGGGGTCCTGGGGGTGGTGGGCTCCTCTCCCTGCACCTCTCAGTTTTTGAAGAGCTTGTCCTAAATCTCTGTGTAAGGATCTCAGGCTTTAGCACAGCATTTGCCATTGTTTCATTGGAATGATGTGCAGGAGCAGCTCCATTCTTCCAAGATACAGGAAAAAAAGATAAGAATAAAATGAGTGCTTTTACTGTCCACCTGCCCTGCCTTGTATAAGCACCTTGTCCTGATATTTTGTTGCTGCTTTGGAAAAGAAAAAGAGAAAACACAAGAAGATTGTATTTCAGGAAGAAAGACTGGCAAAATGATAGCGTGAACTATGAATTTCCAGTTCCGTAGTCTCCCTGTAAATTCTAGCTCCACACACTGCAACCTTGCACCTCAGCATCCATAATGCAGGATATTTGCTGGCAGAATCTGCAGAAAGAGGGCGATGGAGGAGCATGTGCTGGCTTTGGGCTGTCACATCAGTGGTGGCTGCAGGGTCTCTGTCTCTTCAGACAAGATGTGCTACCTGCTGGTGGCAGTGAATGGATGTGGTGGAGGATGGGCACCATGGGCACAGCTTGCTCCCTGTTGTGTTTTGCAGGATACAGGTGCCCCTTCCCAGACTGTGAGAGACGGGCACAGCTGCACATCCCCACTGCTGTCCCTGTCTGGTTTTGATCTGATGGGACACAGAAGTCTCATCACACATTTAGACAGGATCTCTAATTCCCTTTATGGTCACAAAAAGGGGGAAGAATTTTCCTCAGCACTGGGCCGTGGTTGGGGGAGCTTTACTTACCGCAAGTGCAGATGTCCCTCTGGGCTCTTGACAGTTGCAAGAAAGGATTTGGTGTTGGAAATCTTGGCTGGCAGTGAGGAGAAGGCAATTTCTCTAATGACATCCTCGTTTGCACTGATTAAAACTTGAGCTTTTCAGTGCAGTTTTACTCCTTGCCTGTTCAGGAGCCACTTCGGCCCATCTGCAGTCTGCAGGGTGCACTTCTGCACTCTGGAGCATGGGCTGAGTCATGAGATAGGATCTCCTCACGTTTTACAACCTCAAAGCACTACACTACACTCCAGGTGAAGTCCCCAAATGCCTCACAGGCCGTGGGCACTGTGACAGACGAGCAGTTCTGCCAGAACAGGAGTCGGCCCAGCCACCCACAGAGCAGCAGCTCTGGAAAAGTGAAGAGAAATCCAGCTTGTCTCTCAATCCCCTTCCCATCAATGTGTGCAGTGTGCCTGGTACGTTTGGACAGCAGGCCTAAGAACATCATCCTCATCCTCCCATGTGACTTTTTGGGATGCAAAAAAAATTTTAACTAAAAACAAATTTTAACTAAACATATTTTTCAGTCAAGAATATGTCCTCAGAGGTACTATGTGCAGAAAGAAAGAAAATAAGTAATTAGAAAAAAGGCAGCTTATATATTTATGCAGAATTCCCTGTGTTCAGCATTTTGACTTTGACACCAGGGATCTCCATGTTGGAAATGGCTTTGTTGTGAAATCCAGGCAGAATGGGATGAACCCAAGTTGGCCATGTTGCATTCCAGGACTGCTTCTGGTCTGTTCCCTTTCCCTTGCTCAGAAAGTGCTCCCAGGGGTGGCTGGAGACCATCAGTGCAGTGCCAGAGGTGGCATTGATTACCAAAAGAGCAAGATTTCACCTCAAAAGGTGTAAAACAATGCAAGATCTTACAGCCCAGCAGATAGTCCCACTCCCCATGTGGCCTTGTTCTCCCTCCAGTGGGATTTTAATTCATGAACAGCTGTACAGCATGACTACCTGGCTCCATTTGTCAGTGGTCTGGATGGGATGTGACATTACTGGTTTAACTTGGAACACAATCCCAGCCTGTCTGAACGCATCAGTTCAGGCAAGCTCAGTGTGAGCCTTCAGAGGGTTTCAAGAAATAGCAATGTCCTGGACCTGTTGCAGGAGCAGCTGAGGGGGGTGTGAGCCATGGCAGATGCTCCAGCCTCTCCTCCCTTTGGGCTCCTGCCAAGCATTGGTTGTCAAGTTTTTCAGCTGGCTGTGCTATAGCATTGGGAGACATTGTACAGGAATTGCCTGCACTCTTTGGAAAAACTAAATTTTAAAGGAAAACCTCGCAGTGACTTTTCCCTCCAGAAAAGGAAAGAGATTTCTAATAGAGAAGAGATGCACAAGAAAGAAAAGCTCAGCTCATCCAGAGGAAGATGCATCTTTGACCCAGAAGGAATAAATAAGCCTGTGGGACTCATAGCCTCATTACCCCAAATGAAACACATTTCCTGTCTGCTGATGACAGGCAGTTTTCCATGCTCTTATGTCAAATCTTTCCAAATAGATTTAGATGTTGGATTAAGGTTGTTTTTTATGGAAAGTAGCATTTTGGAAAGCACGGAGCTGATCTGGTCCTCGGAGAGGGACCAGCCACACCAGCCTGCAGATCCCACGAACTGATCCCTGCGCTTTGCAAAAGGGCATTTTCAAGAAAACCAACCCCGGGGTCTGTGCGTGGTGCCGGAGGTCGGGGCAGGGCAGAGGCTGCCGAGTGAGCGGGGCCGGGTCCTGAGCATCCCCGCGGGTACTGGGGAAGGGGATCCGCCGCGCCCGCTCCGGGCGAGCTCCGCGAGTGCTCCGTGCCGCGCGCCCCTCCCAGCAGAAGGGAGGTGTTCAGGTATCCTCCAGTGACAGGCGGCTCCAGAGCCCTGCTCCTTATCCCCGAAGCAGCTCTGCGGACGCTGCGTGACTCGAGCCCCTTCCAGAGGTCCGGGAGCCGCTCCTCTGCCCACGGGGCCGGGCGGTGTCCCCACGGCTCCCGACACGTAGTGCTCCCAAGGGGGCTCCGTCCATCAGCGCCGCTTCCAGTGGAACCGGCCCCTGGGAGCGCTCTGAGCCCCGCCACGACGGGGATGGATGCGGGGCCGTGCCACGCGTGACGGGAGCGGGGCCCGGGGGCTGCCGAGAGGATGCTGCACCCACGCGTGTCCCAGGGCGCCGCGGGACAAGGAAACGCAGCTCCTGCCAGAGCCGTGC